CATCTGTACGAAGCGCGTTGGAACGAAGAAAAGAAGATATTTTCATACGCCACCATTCCGCCAAAAATATAGTCCTTTCTAGTTTTCAAACGCAGGTTACCATTTCTATTTAAAGTTGTACGTTTCTGATGAGGAAAGAAAAATATGGTCTTTTAAATTCCTTACACCTCAAGATATAAGACATATAAGCAAATATACTTTGAATGTTTCATCTAGTCAGAAACCAGAGAAGAATCCTACCTTAAATCATGGAAAACTCCTACAAGTCTGTTTTTGCTTTAGTTGGAAGTTTTAACGAAAAATGTCAACAAAACCCATTGTTACAGGAAATAAGGAACAAAAAATAATTTCTTTATATTGACCTGCAATAATTTCTTATATTGACCTGGAAGGTTACATGATTCTTTATATTGACCTGCAATGATTTCTTATATACCTGGAAGATTCGTGCAGGTCAATATAATGTAGTATTTTTCTAACATTGTTGTATCTTAGCCAATCAGAGAGAGAGAAATTATTCAATCATATAATAACACAGAGAATCCTTTCAAGATAAATACATATTTGCAGCTTAAAACATTTAGCTTAAGCTTCCTTAGTTTTCTGCATTGAAGATTATATCCGATTTCGTATATTATAACCAAAACTAACCATAAATTTTGGCAGGCGGCCAAAACTTGCTTCAAAAAATGATAAATTTTTACTCAAAAAATGTAATATTATTTATCTAAATAAACTTCTACATAAGAAGGTGGCGATCCTTCCTGCTGTCTTCAAGTCTACATTTAGATATAGCGACGACGCATTATGAAACTCGAAAATTTACTTACCTTGTCATTGGTCATTTGCAAAATTATTTTGTTAAAACATTCTGATTTTACAGACAAGTAGTCTGAAGTCGACATCAAAAAAGATGCTTGGATTTTTGATTTACAATATCTATGTTGTTTTTTTAGACCATGTCTTCCTACAATCTATTGGAATTCCATGGGTACCAACTGCGCCCCGTTATTAGCAGACCTTTTTTTGCTTTCATATGAAGCAGAATTCGTGCAAAATTGTATGCGTGAAACGAAGAAAACACTTGCTGTGGTCTTCAACTCGAAATTTCGATATATCGACGACGAATTGTCAATTAACAGTCATGGTAAAAAGAAGGTACGTTAGGCACCAAAATCCGCCTAGTCCCAAAATCTGGTGATAATATTTAAATATTTTGTCTTGGATACCCCTGTTCTAAATCAATTTATTTTTTGAAAATATCTCAAACCGTTTTCTATACACAACTCACTAAAAATGCAATGTTTTCTTAAGAAAATAACACTGACGACGTCATGACGTTCACATGGCGTTATCAAATTTCAACGTAATGATTCCGGTACAGCGTTAAGAATTGTACATTTCTCAACCTAAAAATTTATATTCTTTTATATAATTCATATTTAAGTCTATTTCACTGTTTTTTTTATTTAATCTGTTCTAAACCTTTAGGAGATAATTTTCCGAGAAAACTATTTCACCTTGAGAAAGTGTATTAATTGTAAGAATTTTTCCCCTCTCCATTTCCCCAAAATTCATGATATTAATTTAAATACTAAATTAAATTTTGAAAAACCAGTATACCATACAATCATGCTTACCTTTATTTACTTATTTGGTATATACATGTACGAAAATATAATACATAATTATATGTATACACGCTTGAAGCGCAAGATGTGCTTTTACTGCGTACAAAATCTTGACTGCAACATAATTATCACAGTGTTTTATGCCAGTATTTTCCTTGATTTTTTTTCCTACTAAAGATTTATTTTTGATTAAGCTAAGACATTATCTATGCATTACTCTGTTTCGGTTTTATTACTACAGTATAGTACTTTTTTATAGTATATAATCATTATTGATATGAAGCTTAATAAGGTTACATATTTTCAAAAATAAAGAACCGACAAAAATATTTATGTTACGTGTCTGAAAGAGAAAATATTATCAACAATGACAGCTATGTCAACCCCTGTCCTTTTGACAATCACGCATACTCTGTATTTAGTCTTGTGGTAGTCGGGTCGGTTATTATGCTTCTATGATAATGTACATTGCACATGTATAATTGTAACGTGAAGCGGTCACCCATCCAAGGGTTAAACAGGCTCGCTATTGCTGAAAACCTCGACTAACTAGCGAGGCAGTTTAAGTTACATTCTGTATTACTGTCCGCTACCCCCCCCCCCCCCCGCTTACGGAAGCTTCGACCGTAGCATGAGCTCTCTGAGTGACTGGACCTCTAGATTAGGCAAATAAAGTCGTCCACGAATTCAAAGTCCGTACCTGGACACAAAGTCCTCCTCCTAGAGCTTCTGATGCTAGCTCTAAGACTTCCTGATGCAGAAGCGCCAAACGGCGGAGTCACAACGCTGCCATCAATTTTGTGAATTTCCGCGATTTTTAATAGATACGGTAAGCACTTTATACGCCCCCCTTTTTCCCAAAGATATACTTAGCATAGACATTGAACATTGCTTCGTAGGTTTAGCCCCCCTCCCCACTTTCAACAGACACGTCGCAGTATAGGTTAAAAATGGGTGAAAGTGGTGGTGTTGGAAAAAAAATTTGGTTCTGAGTTCGCCCCCCCCTTTCCCCCACGAAATAAGAATTTCATGTTTGGGAAATGGACATTCCCCCTTTTTTTGCTTGTCAGGTTTTTTTGAAGGTATAATTTTTTTTTTACACTTAGCCCCCCCCCCCCCCACTTTCAATTTGTTTCCGACGCCAATGCACTTATCATCAAACGGTTGCTAAAATTACCTGCATTTACATGTATTTCCCTCCTTATACCGTATAGCGGGTTATTTTAGCGGGGTGCCAATTTTGGCTTATTTTCGGCGTTTTGGTAGCCTGCTAAAATTGTAATCGCTAAAATAGTCAGGATTCTTTTAAGTGTCTATCTACAAAGAGCTGAAACCCTACGTCCGCTAAAATAAATTACGCCAAAAATATTCCCATACCTTCGAGTAGGAAAAACGCCAAATTTTACACCCGCCAATAAAACCCGCTATACGGTATGTGTACAAATGCATACACGTACGAGACATAATATACGATGAATTTATTTTTAGAAAGTTCAATAATTTAAAGAATGTCGATGTGTCTTACCGATCGATAAAACCGATGTATAAGAGATTGCTGTAATTGAAACAAAATAATAAACATCTCAAAAATGTGAAATGACTTAAGACAGTGGTGATCAAGGAGAAACAGATTTTATTTAGCTCTTGATATTTTGATAATTGTTGAAAACTGATTAAAATATACATTAAGTGCAACAATTTAGGATAGGCAAGATTTCCTTTGACTTTACATGTTATGAAGGTTTTTATATCGTCTCTGAGCTCAATATCCTAACGAATATGAATACAGGATACTTGTGTGGAGACGTTGTTGTATGAAAATTGTGATCAATTAAAACATGACACAAAACTCGGACCTATAGAAAATCTAGAGGTGGGATCATCTAACAATCAAGCTCTGTCATAAACGTGATGACTTAAATTTTTTTATCGTCAACTTCCCTTACTTATGCAGCAATATACTTTAATCACCTGCATATGGAGTTTATATATCTCAGTTGAGCATGCTCTATGTATGTACAATTTCTGAAACGAGGTAAATTATTGACAAACATGTTGATGAAACAAGAATATCAGCAATTTCGTTTGAAGTCGTCATTTCGTAAGTTCTATGGTCGAAATAATGACATTGTCAGCAAATACGATTTATTATTGAGTCAAATGCTGACTGATGTTTTATACAATTATTTATACACTGAAATGACGTCCAATTTTTCCGTTATTTCCCGATCATGTCAAGGTGCACACGGCAGCTGTGACCGGTCGACAAGGGAAGCTCACTTCTCCATGGCACCTGACTCCACCTCTTACGTTTTGGAGATCCGTGTTTGCTCTGCTCATATTTTGTATTGTTTTATGGACTTTGATATTCAATAATGTTCGTTATCTCTATATCCTTCATCATTGACAACTCCTTTTTCAATAAAAATCGAACTCGTAAATGAAATAACCTTTATTAACAAAAAAACATTTTAGTTGTACAGATGCGTACTCTGAAGCTGATATTTTTAAGATGCTTCAGTTTCTGATTGACAATATCTATGTTGTTTTTAAAGACCAAGTCCTCCAACAATCTTTCGGATTTTTTATGGGCACAATTTGCGCTCCGTTAATAGGAATCCTATTTTTGTGTTCATATGAAGCAGAATTTGTTTATAATCTTTAAAAGAAGAAAACACTTGCTATAGCCTTTAATTATACATTAAGATATACCGACGGCGTATTGTCAATTAACAATGGTATAATTTCAATTCTTATTTTGAAACGATATATCCTGGTGAGCTTGAGATACAGGTGCCACAGAGTCTTACACATCTGTTTCATATTGGTATATTTTACTTAAAAAAGGACGTTAATGGTTATTTAGCTTAATGGTAAACATGGTGAACCAACTTTTCAATGGCCAGCTTCTCTTACGTATGCAGCAATATACCTTCATCACCTGCGTTCGGGTTTTATATCTCCCAGTTCATTGAATACATAAGAGCATGCTCTACGCAAGAATATCTAAAACGAGGTAAGTTATTGACAAAAAAACTTTACAAGTACTAGCGTAAAAGCATTCCCGTTTAAAGTAATCATTTCGTAAGTTTTACAGTCGATACAAATGTTAATCATTATGCGCCATTATTCCTGGTGTGACTGGTCGGCATGGGATGCTCACTCCTCCATGGCACCTGAACCCTCCTCTGATGTTTTATAGGCCCGCCTTTCCGTTTTTTATACTAAGTGTTAGTTCATTATTTATACACTGAATTGACGACGGATTTTTTCGTTATTTCCCGATCACGGCAAGGAGCATACGGCATGTGTGACCGGTGGGCAGGGAATGCTCACCTCCATGGCACCTGATTCCATCTCTGATGTTTTGGAGGTCCGTGTTTGCTCTGGTCCTATTTTGTATTGATTAAAATGATCTTTTGTTCGTTTGTTTATATCTCCATATATATTTCAATCAAGGCATCCATTAAACTAGTTTTAGAGTTCAATATAACAAATATTTCTTTTTATCAACAGGAATCCAAGAATGAATATCTCTGTTAAATGGTAAACTCTCTTTCTTTTAATAAAAAGACAATGTTTCAGTTTTAGTTTTATTAGACATTTGTCGTAGTTTTTTTTACAAACATTAGAGATGTTTAGAAAATTCTCATTCTAAACGGTTTGACAGGTATCAGGATTGATACAGATTGCTCAGTATGTGATTGTGTTGTCTCCGGGACTCATCCTTTATTTTGTTCCTCCATCTCTTTTATTATAGTAATTGCCTGAATTAGAATAAGAATACATTTTCATTCTTTCAAGGGATAATTAAGTACCATCTAGCATGTTTTACCTCTTTTATTTAAAGCTTTAGTGATAGTGAAATTCTATTCTGAGATATTTTCTACTAAACTAACATGTGAGTTATGAAATTGTAGAACTAATTTGCATAAAATTTTTAAAAATGAACACTATATCAGATAAAGAATGGCATGAACATGTAATTCTATTTATCAAAACTCAAAATAATACCTACCCACTCATAAAGTTTGGCGGCTGCGGCGCTAGATTTGCGGGCCTTGGCACTGTCCATACTCTTCAGTACATCTTTAGCCCTGGTCAGGGAATCAGCCGACACATGCTTCACGTCAAATTCACTCAGAGTGACCTCTATCTTACGCAGAAGTCTCTTCTGACTTTTCCATTCCTAGATAAGAAAGAATAAAACATGAAAAAGCACATCTTTACAATTTATAGTATAAAAGTATCCTAAATTTTAAAAGTAAAAACTTTCAAAACGTATCAAAGATTACAAGATTAAGGAAGTACAAGTATAATTTACGAGAATATCCTTTTCGTCTTTTCCAAGAATAATATATGTAGCATGCATTATGACTAAAACCGAATCCGGCGGGTCGTGGTAGGTTCGCAGTTCTTCTAAAGCTGAAAAGAATTAAATGTAAGGGGCATTAGAGAATGTCACAGACTGGTGTAGGGATTACTGATTGTCGATAAACAGGCTTTCTCTTCATGTATCATTCACCTTTCCTGAGTGATATGTGATGCATTTTCCTTTCAGCTTTGGCAACCTCCCCAAAGTCTTTTCCGCCACATTTCTGGAACTCTTCTTTGGCTTTCTGAACTTCTGTCGGTTTAGCATTTTCAGACTTTAGTAACTTCAGAAGACGCTCTCTTGCTTTTCGTTGACTTTGGGTCTGTTATAATGAAAAGTGAATCTTTAGCAAGAAAAAGGGTTTAAAAAGTCATTGTAAGCTAGTTTAAGAGGTAGTTACCCTTTGATGTCCTAAAACAATTTTAATTCAAGAGAAAGTGAATATTTACTAACCTCTGTTCTCTCCAGTAGGTAATTACAAACGTTGATAAATTCTGAGGCATTGGGGTCCCGAATATAAATCTTCAAAACAAACTCCCCTTGTTCATGAAGTGGAGGGTGCACAGATACATTAACGTTGTGGCCCTTTTTCTCAGTGTTGACGGA